CTACCGGAGCTACTGACAGCATAACTGCAGTCAAACCCAAGGGGCGCTGCTAAAGCTTCGACATGTGTACCACTAATCTGAGTTTCAACTATCCCCAACAAGGTCGGGGCAAACTTTATCATGAGATCGCGAAGTTCTCGGACTGTCGCGACATTGCCCGCTTCGCGACAGTTCCATGCCAAGATACTCATTGGACCCGACGGTCCTCCCCGAGGGAGTCAGCCGATTGCACATCAGAAGCAGTAGACTTGTTTGTTGAAGCTCCTTTGCGGGCCTTCTTGCATTCCTTTGGGGGGATATAGGGTGGGTCTGGAGGTGGAACGGGAACATTCACATCAGCAACGGAAGCAGGATGCTAATCTGATCCATCCAGTTTCTCACTATCTCCTACTGTCCCAACGTTCATGTCTAGTTTCCTTGCTGCTTGGCCCCTCCCCTGAGGCTGATTCTTCTGCTCCAAATGAGCTTCAGTGTGTATGTTTTCTGCAGCCTTCAGAGGACTCTGGGCAATATCCAGTTCTTCCCCACCATCATCAAGACCAGCTTCATTGGAACTCCTCTTGCGAGGTGCACCAACACCACCACGGCCTCTACCGCGAAAATTGCCCTGGGGAAAGGTGGACCTGCGCTCATTCTGTTGTTCAAGACGGGATGTTCTTCTCTTGGCTACAAGACACTTCCCCCATTGTATGCTTTCCTTGGGGTGCACCCCGTCGCCGCATTCCTCCTTGTCGTGGCCAAGGAGGCCGCATACTTCACAGAAGAAGCCAATTTTCTCATATTTGACTTCAAGAAAGATTCTCTCGCCTGCAAGGTTCAGGGGAGTCCACCGGATCAGTGGTTTCGAGACATCTATGCTTGCGCGCAGACGGATGTAGTTTCCCTCAAAATAACAAGTTGGGTTGAGCTCCACGCTCCGTACAATGCCAATTCTCAACGCCAACTAATCAACAATGGGCTCCTTTAGGTACAAATCTGGGATTTGTGAATCTGCGCCCACACTGATGACCTCTGAAATTGAACAGACTCCTGAGCGTGTTTCCCATCGAATTCCTCAATCAGCACCATTAGCCCATGGAAGATCCATGGTCCCTGAAACATTACCCTCTTCCAATCTCCTAGACAGAAAACTTGAATGACAAAAAGATTGCCATCTACCACCCTGATCTCAGGGTCATGTGCTAAATTCCATATGGACTTTAATTAGGGTTTCCTTCAATGCTGTGCTACTGAAAGTTTTGGATGTATTAACCTTTGCAACAGCGAGCCAGCACCCCTCCTTTGCAAGTTTCCCACTCTCCTCTTCTCCCACATAGACCTTGTCAAGCTCTCCCTCTTGCAGTCGCATGTGCTTCATGGCATCCTCCAAACCTGCATCAGCTGCCTCCTTCCCACTCCCGTGCCTCTGAGATCTCGATCAAGACGCAGCCATGACCGAAACCTTCCTCTCCACTCGCCGGCGAAGCCGATCTACCCCCCTCGTCACAACCATGGATGCCAAAGGTCGGGAAGACAGACCAGTTGTCCCCTGGATCGGCCCGAGGCACCTGCGAAGCGATCGGAGATGAAGGTAGACAGAGATGACGGTACAAATAAACTCAACGCCGACAAAAACACCGGCGGAGTACTGAAACCCTAGTCGCATCAGGCGCTAGGTCATTCTTTAAGGAGCAACCATCTCTGTCGTCGGCTTGGGCCATGGAAAGAAGCTGGGCTAGGGAAAGAACTAGGCGCAAGGGAAAATAAATGAAAAATAAAAAAGAAAAGGAATGGGCCTAGCCTATTTCATGGAGGGATACCAGGGAGAAGGCTTGTGCTAAATTGAGGGTTTGGGCCTGATTTGGGTTTTCTGAATTGTTTTAAGTTTTTTTGTATCACTAATATCATAGGAAAAATAATATCTTTGAAAACAACCATAGGAAAATAATTAATGCTAATATGATTGTCCAATCTTTTTATAAGACACGAAAACTCTAATAAATTAAAGTACTTCAATTGGCTCCGGGAAAAATAGTTGCCACCCAAACTTAGTTTTGGGAATTGGACTTATTTTCAAAACCACAACAATGGATCATTTCTAAATGATTTTATATGGCTTATTAATGACTCATAAGGTTTTTAACATCCAAATGAATACTTTAAGAGTCAAATGATATCCAAATAAAATGTCAATCATCCATGTTTTGTGAAGTTATATTAACATTAATTAAAATGAACGTGGTGGGAAAAATATTTGTAGTCATTAAGATGCAAGGAAGCATTTTGAGCTTCTGTAATCTTTTCCCAACCAAGAATCAAAGTTTTAGATAGTCATGTTAATCCTCTTTAACAAAAAGGTTGAGAAAAATTTAAGTAATTCCTCAAAATTTCAAATGTTTCGGAAAATCTCATCAAGTAAAAAAATTCCAACATCATTTATTTAACTAAAATTTCTATTTAACAATCCAAAAATTGGTTATTGTTTGGGATGTTACATCTAAATCAAGGATATGCATGTGAGTGTTTGTCACTGCTTGGCAATCTAGCTGACAACTATTACTTCTCTATTAAAAGTGCGGGTGACGACACATGATGACGTTGGTTTGGTGGTGCTTAACACATTATGTTGTTGCATAAGGGAGAGTGTACTTGGTATCAACTTGGTACCATCTTTATAGATAATTTGAAGTAAAACCTATATATTTTACTTTCATAAAGTAAAAGACTCTGAAAAAGAGAGATGCCGGATGTGCATCACAGATGGTCTGTTGAAAGCCTTCCAAAAAAAAGGTTTGTTGTTGGGTTTGTTTAGAACACATTTAGATGTGACATAATTATATCACATCTAACTTTTTTTTCTCGAATACGCACGACCATGCGTATCATATATTCATACAAGAAGAGGCCAAGATGACCGATACAACGCCTTTCGGCACAATGCTACACCAAGAGGTTAGCATCCCCATCCACCATGACAACACCGACACACTACTCGCCCTGCCCAACTCAACCCATAAATGGCGAAGATGTAGAACACAGAGCACACATGCCGCGTCACATCCGGATCCAACACCTCGGAGTACAACCTTCAAACCAAACTAGATCAACGCACCCTCCACTCTTAGTGCCTAGGAGATCAGCAAGTGAACAGCAGGAGCTAGCCTAACTCGAGGAAAATATCTCCAAAGAGGCGTCGAAGATGGAGTACATTGCGCCCTGGATGCCCATGCACACGGCAACAACCAACACGTGACAACATGGCGCCTAAAGCCGCGTCGCCGAGGCAAACGAGGCAACCCACACCAGCTACTCCTCCACGCAAGACACCCCAAGCACCCACGCAGCGTCTCCAAGGAGAGGACGACGCCGGCGCTGCCGCTGCCTGGCCCGGCGAACCGAACCTGGGGTTTCCCCTGGTGCTTGATCAGGGGATGGACATGGCCATGACAACGCCTCCAGGGAGGAGACGGTGCCCACAGGCGTCGTCGTTGCCCGCAGCCGCAGCAGCGCATGGATTTCTCCTGACCATGTTCATCAAGTCTACGCGGAATAGCAAACTGGGAAGTGGGGAGCAAAGTTGTCACCTTGGGCCATTACCGTGGAGAGGGAAGTAGCATGTCGCCGTCGTCGAGCCACAGATCAGCCAGCAACAACCACACGCCGCCAAGATCTCGAACCACCCCGCCACCTTGCCGCACGGTTTTCCGGGGCCGCCGCCCCAGCTTCCACACTGAGGATCCTCTTTCCGGAGCCGCTCCGCCACCAGCCAACACCCGCCTACCATCCATGGGCCAACACCGCCATCACCAGGACATCTCTCCACCACCTCGAGCGACGCTGCCGCACCGCCCACGTCGATCCGTGGCACACCGCCACCACCACGGATCCGCAGACACCAGCCGGAGCAGCCACGCCCCAGCCCGCCCGCCATGCGCGGAGGCCCGCCATGGAAGCCGCCATCCTAGCCGGATCTGGGAGAGCACGGACCCCCGAAACGAGGCCATCCCGTAGCCCCCACGCCGGGAACCGCCGGCCACCGCACTCCCCTGCCTCCGCGTCCCCGGGGCCGCCTCCCCGGCATTCCCGCGCCGGCGAGCCGCCATCCCCGCCCCCAGCCGAGTCCGGCGGTCGCCAGCGCCACCACGAGAAGGAGCCGCCCCCGGCGCCGTTTGGCAGCGGGGGCCCGCCGCCACCGCGGCGCAGATGCCGGCGGCAGCGGCGGAGAGGGAGCACCGGAGGGAGGGCTTCTAGGCGGCGGCGCGGTTGCGCCCCCGGAGTCGCCTGGGGAGCGACTCGGGGGGTTGGGGAAAGGTCCCGACGGTCCCGATGTCACATCTAACCTTGTGTCCAGTATGTTTGTGGTTTATTTTTTTGTTCCAACTTTTTTTTTGTTTCTTGTTGCTGCGAGTTATTTGTAGGAGTTTAGATGTGACATCCTTAAAAAACATCTAGATGTGAATTAGACAAACTGTTGTTGAAAGCCGCCCACCATATGACACTAAACACTAACAAATAACCGTCCGAGAGAACCATTTGCGATTATCTTTGTCTAAGAGGAGGTTGATGAAACGTCGGAGCTAACCTGCCTTAGGTGTGTCGAGCTGTTAGTGTACAAACATGAAAATGCAACGTTTTGCAACTTACAATGAAGAAACTGATCGACACAGATGTTGGCAGTCTTACTGCGCCAGCTAAGCAATTTTAACCTCCCTAGCTGGAATTCCATGGCAGTCTCTCGCGGGCGTTAAAACCTTGTGCGGAAACCTTTGGGCCTAACGCATGAGAATATAAGAAAGGAAAACTACCTGACCAAATAACTCCATGTTTCTAGTGGATTAATAACTGCTCAACCAGATGTTTGCCAGTTGCCACATCAGCCAGTACGTATGGTTTTCGTATGACCATGCATTTTCGCATTTTGTATGACCCCTCGCCAACACACCACACGCGAGAGCACAACAAGAACAATGCTCCAGGCCCCCCTATATATATCGCGAGTTTTTATGAGTTGCCCAGCGAAAATGGCTTGTTCTATTCCCTCTCTGCTCATCTGCCTGCTTCTTCTTGCTCCCCAGCTTGGCAGCTCTTACCACACCACCAGCTACTCCCACGGTGGAACGCATGTCGTCCTCCGTTCATCCCAGGATTCAAGGGTTCCGCCGAGCTGCTCGCCCATCCATTCCGGTGAAGTATTTCACACAAATTAACCTCTGCAACAGAACGTGCTTGCATGCATGCATGCAAAATGAAATAATGAGTTGGTCATTGTTGTCTCGTCATTCCCGGCATTGACCAATTAACTTGCCTGTACTTTTTCAGGTGATGACGGGGGGCCGCTGCCTGTAATGCATCGCCGGAGCGCGTGCTCTCCTTCTGGCGCCGGCTTGGACCAAAGCAAGCCCTCGGTCGACGACACCTTCGACCGCGACGCCCTCCGCCTAAGCACGCTCTTCGGGAAGTCTGGTGTGACGATCCCCTCGACCGGCACTCCACTGGCGGCTTTGCCGGGCGCGTCCGAGTACCACGTCGCCGTCGGCTTCGGTACGCCGGTGCAGAAGTTCCACGTGGGGTTCGACACGGGCAGCGCCTCCGCGGGAGCCACGCTGCTCCAGTGCAAGCCGTGCGCCGTGGCCCGTGGCGCGCCGTGCCCCCGTGCTTTCGATCCGTCCAAGTCCACCTCCCTAGTCCACGTCCCGTGCGGCTCGCCGGACTGCGACGTAAGCGAGTGCAAGGGACGCCGCTGCACGCGCACACTCAACTGGAAAAACGGGCTGCAAAATGCCACCTTCGTGACCGACACGCTCACGCTCACGCGGTCGGTTATCGTAGATAAGTTCAGGTTCTTTTGCCTGGAGATGGCCGCCAGATCGGGGGACGGCTCGTCCGGCATCCTCGACCTCAGCCGGGACAGGCACTCGCTGGCATCCCGGGTGGCTCCGTCTCGGGCCACGGTGGCCTTCTCCTACTGCCTGCCGTCGTACGCCGACTCCATCGGCTTCCTCTCCGTCGGCGGCGCCCGGCCGGAGCTCGCCGGCCATAACGTGACCTACGCCACCCTGCGGAGCAAGGCCCTCCACCCGAACCTCTACTCTGTCCAGCTCGTCGGTTTCTCCATCGCCGGCCAGGACCTGAAGATCCCGCCCATCAAACTCGTTGGTGACACGGTGTTCGAACTGCACACCACGTTCACCTACCTGAGGCCGGACGTCTACGCGGTCCTTCGCGAGCAATTCAAGGGGTGGATGAGGCCGTACCGCCTGGCGCCGCCGTTGGGTGATCTCGACACGTGCTACGACTTCACCGGCTTGAGCTCCATGATCCTGCCGGATGTCACGCTCCGCTTCAAGGGCGGGGCGACCATGGACCTTGACATCGAGAACTTCATGTACTTCAAGGACCCCGAGAACCACTTCTCTGTGGGGTGCCTCGCGTTCGCCGCGGCGCGCACCCTGGAGCCGGTGGTTGCGGTGATCGGGACCTTGGCGCAGGGGATGACGGAGGTGGTCTATGACGTGCTCGGAGGAAAGGTTGGGTTAATTCCCCGCCGCTGCTGATTACCAACGTGCATGATGCATCTATGCATAGTATTTCGGGCTTCTCATTTTGCCTGCTTCACAAATGAGCGCCCATGTAATAAGAATCATAAGTCACGTACTCGTATGTAACTGTGGAGTGGAGTTGTATCCTTCCCAGGAATGAATAAACAACGGTTTTGCTAATTTACAGTCGACTGTTTTGTAATTCGCCGACGTTCGAATTTCTGTCCGTTTGATCTCGCGTCGAGATTCGTGCTCGGTCCTGCTTTTTTTGTGTTGGTTTTCGGGTCGGTTTTGTTTATCGGGCGCGGTTTTCTGGATCCGCCCGTTTTTCCTCGACCCGGCTGAACCGGTGGGCACTGTAGGTTTTTGTCCCTTTTGAATTTGGAGCGGGGTGTCGTTCCCCTTTCCCATTTGGATAAGGCAGAGGGAGTGAGAGCTCGAGCGGCGGCGGAGGGCGAGGCGATTCCTGGAGGCGATTCCCCATTTCATGGCGATTTGGAGCTCAGCCGCCGGAGGATTTTGACGGCAGCCTCTTCGTTCTCGTCGCCCGCAGCTGCGCCGGTATGTTTCCTTGCCTTCTCGCGCCGTTTGCCCTTACTTTTTGTGGCCCTGTAGCTTCAGATCCATGTGATTTTCGGGGGTTCGCGGGATGTGTATGTTGCTGCCGTGGTTTTTCTAGTTCGCCATGGGCGCGCGAGTGGTATCTGGTAGGATCTAGTTGTGTCACCCGTAGGTTTCCACCCGCGTGATCTGTGTGTTCCTGCAGATTTTGTGGAGGAGCGTCCGGCGTGCGTTCTAGTTGTTGATGTGTAGGTAGGCGCAGAGGTTAGTTTTCTGTAGGTGTTGTGGATGTATGCGTAGTTGTTGTTAGTTTTCAGCAGCGGATCCTGTAGCTTGTGGCTGTAGTTCGAGTTGTGGTCATAGTGCCTGAATTTCATCTAGTTTTGTGTTGTCTTTGTCCCATGTTGTCCATTTCGGTGGTTTTATTAAGTAATCTATCTGTATTTTTTGTTCATTTTTTGCTGTGCACTTTCATGTATTTTTGATGCTTGTTTTTATGTTTTTTCTACCATTATGTGAGTGTATCTAAGATCAAGGGGCTGCAGTATGTGCATGAAGTTCTGCTGTGCACTGTTTGTCCTGTAGAGTTTTATTGATTTGTTCACTGCGCCTTTGCCTTATGTTTTTGTTGTGGACCCAGCCCAAATGTTTTCAGCGATGTGGGAGTAGGCGTTGTAGGCAATAGGTTTCAGCGATGGATCCTAAAGCTAATGTTTCTGAAGACCGAGTTGTTGTTTGTAGTTTTTGTAGCCTCTGAATTTTGGTCATCTTGTAATGTTTCTCGTTTTTGTTGATGTTGTCTATTGTTTGTTGCTCTTTGTCAAGCTTTTTTTGCAGGTTGGGAATTGCCTGCTATATGTAGGTTTTCATCCCCATTTTGTGCCATGATTGTTTACTTTTCAGGGATGTCATGATTTTTGAGTTTATTTTCTTAGTGTTTTTTTTGTGTCATGTCAGTGTTGACTGTTGGTTTAGTATATTCGAGTGTTGTTGTTTTGTTCTGTAGTTCATGTCATAGTTTCAGTATTTCCCCCTTTTAGTGTAATTTTAGTGTATTTTTCTGACTTTGTGTGTCCATTTTGTCCCAGTATTTCAATGTAATGTCTCCTAGGTTTTACAGTGTTTTTTTTGTGTGTGGTAGTTTTGCAGTGTAAATGCACTCATTCTACATTATAATTGTGCTAGCCTTTTACAATGTAATTGTGCTAGTTTGTGCAGTGTAATCTCAGTGTACTTATTTTTTTATTTCAGTGTAATTGTGCTTAGTTTTACACTGTAATCTCAGTGTAGTTGTCCAATAATCACAGTGCAGTTGTGCTAGTTTTACATTGCAAATCTACTCATTTTTACAGTATAATGGCGCTAGTCTTACGGTGTAATCCCTGTTTGTTTTTGCACTGTAATTGTGGTAGTTTTTACAGTATAATATCAGTGTTTTTTGTAAAATTACAGTGTAGTTTGTGCTAGTTTTACACTGTAATTATATTGCTTTTTTGTCCCTTACTTACAGTGTAGTTGTGCTGGTTTTACACTGTAATTACATTGTATTTTTTGTCCAATACACAGTGCAGTTGTGCTAGTGTTTACAATGCAATTTCTGTTAGGTTTTACACTGTACTTGTGCTAGTTTTTACAGTGCAATCATAGTGTAATTTTTGTTCAATACTTACAGTGCAGCTGTGCTGGTTTTGCAGTGTAATTGTGCTAGGTTTATACTGTAATTACATCATATTTTTTGTCCAATGCTTTTAATGTAGTTGTGCTAGTTTTTACAGTGTAATGGCAGTGCATTATGTTGTATACTTACATTGTATTTTTGAGTTTTAATTGGATACTTTTTCACTGTTACTTATGTTTTTGTTTTTTCCTTTTTTTAGGTTTAAATGGGCAAGCTACGGAAAGCTTGTAATTGGGATGTCCCTGTAGTTTCATCTTTAGATAGTGATGATTCTGGAGGTGAAGGATTTGTGCCTAATGATTTTGCAGAAGATGGTTCTTTCCCTGTGTCTATGGTATTTATTTACTTTCTGCTTCTTTTTATTTTAGTTTTTTTGACCTTCATTTTCTTGGGTTGTCTTATTTTTTTATTGGTTTTTTCTGCAGGGATTATCTGGTGATGAAGGAGGGCTTGACAAAGCTCTTCTGAAGTTCTATCTCAACCGAGTATGTTTTATTTCATCTAGGACTTTTTATTCTTGTTTTCATTTTTTTACATTTTTTCTGATGCGTGATAGTGTGTGTTTTTCTTATATTTTCAGAAAGTAAAATGCCTCAAGAGGAAATTATCATCTGCTTCAAGGAGGAATGTGGTTAGTTCATATTTTCTTTTTTGTTTTCAGCAGTTTTTACTTTCTGAACAGAAAAATGCTTGAAGTTCTATCTTAATGATTTTTTTTGTAGTGCTAGTCCAATTATTAGTAACTGCATTTTTTGAATGTATTGCAGTGTTCTTTTTGTATTAAGTAATAGTAATCTGAAGCTATTTTTTGTCTGGTTTGATATGTGTTTTCACTCATGTTGTTTTTGTTATTTTCTAGTGTAAATCCAATTATTTTAGTAGCTTTATTTTTTGATGTATTTGTAAAATATTTTTTTGTACTTAGTAATAGTAATGTGAAGTAATTATTTTTTGAGTGGTTGATATGGTGCTTCTATTTTGTTGCTTTTGTAGAGGCAGAAACGCTCTAGTGATTACCCTACTTGTGCTACTTTCACTAGATATTCTGGGAAGTTCTTCTCTGGTGTTGTTGATGGTCTATGTTCTAGGTATCGAGATGTTGTCCAGAGATATGGCATGGGCTGTCTCTTAGAGTTTGTTAGGACTGAGGTGCCCCTTAGGTTAGTGAAGTGGCTCGCCAGTAGGTTTGATGTCCTTTCATCTGAATTCCAGCTCAAAAAGAAATTTATCCCAATGACCAAGTATGATATTCATGACATCCTTGACCTTCCAGTAGATGGTGAGCCACTTGTGTGTGATGCTGAATCTGGCCGTGATTTTATCCTCTCTCACTTCAACTTGACCAGTATTCCTCCCGTGTCCTTCTTTGCCAACAAGCTAAAATCAACCGAAGTCGAGTTGCCTGATGAAGATGTCTTTATCTGTTTCATGATTGTTGCTTTTTCATCATTCCTTTGTCCCAACTCTAGCCTCAGTCCTAGCCCAAAGTACCTTCACATCTTCCGGGATTGTCCTTCTGTGCGTAACTATGATCTGTCAAAATTTGTTTATGAGTGGCTGTTGAGTTCCATAAAAAAGTTCAAGGATTCCACTAAAGTTGCTTCCAAAAGATCAGTGACGTTTGGCGGTTGTCACTACGCTTTTGCTGTAAGTCTTGTTATTGTTTTTCTCTTTTTTTGTTTTTTAGTTTGATTTGTGTTGTTATAGTCATTTTAATCTTTTCTTTTGTTCTTATGTTTCCAGGTTTGTTACCTTGACCAACTCAATTTCGGTCTTCACTCTGTTTCTGATGTAAAGCCTCGCATCCTAGCCTGGAGAGGCAACAAAGTTAAGCAATTTTCAGAGCTTGATAGAAACAATAGCCACTCTTTTGGTAAGAGGCCTCTAAAGCAGCTGTGTGCTTCAGTTCATCCGCAGGTTGGTCTTTTGATTTCTCTTTTTTGTTTTTTTATGTTAGTGTCTCTGTATGTTTGCGATGACAACTTTTTTTTGTCATTGTAGCAGTCTATCGACAAATTTTCAGCAAGCAAGGATGGTGATGTTCCCTTTTGCAATGCCAAACTCTTCGAAATGAACGTCCAGAAATCATTTTGTGCTCGTTTTGGGTTAGAGGTTAGCATAGTTATGATTATGCTCTTTTTTGCCTTTTATTCTTTTCTTTTGTTTTATTCTTGCGGGTTTACTCTATTCTTTTTCTTTTTCAAGCTGCTCAAGTAGTTATAGACCTTGTTAAAGATAGGAACAAGGACAAGCCTAAGCTATTTGTAGAATGGTCAGAATCACTTGTAATTGATATTATTGATTGCATAGCAAACTCACCATTGATTGCAAAATCTATTGCTACACCAAAATTTTCTCCAAGCGAATTTCAATCTCTGAGCAACTTCTCTTTTGGTTAGTTTCTTTTCCTTAATGTTTCTCTTTTGATTTTGTCTTTATTTTCTGATTTTTTATGTAAATTTTTATTATATGACTTGTTTGTTGTTTGCTCATGTTTAGTGTTTGTTTCTTTATCCCTTTTTTGAAGGCAAAAAGTCTGTTTCTATTCATTCTTTTATTGCTGAAAGAAACTTTGAAAATGTTGTCGAAAAGCCGTCTTCCCAAGTTCAGTCCCCAATCCCCAATTTGAACGAAGCTTCTAATTTTGCTGCTGGTGTTATTTTGGATGGGGATTTTGTCAATCCAGTAGCATTATCTAGCTCATCTCCAGCTCCTAAGGTGTGTGTTGAGGTATTTGTCTAGTAACAACAGTTTTATGTTTTTTATTTGTTTGATG